AGACTACGGTTATGAATGGCGTGCGCGAGACATCTCCGACGAACCGTCAAAGTTCCGCGCAATCTTATAATTTTTCATAAAGTTAGAGTTGGATTTGTGATGATTATGACTCGGTGTTTTATCTTATTATATGCCCAAATTCTCACGCATTGGCCGATCCTAATGCAGGCGGGGAAATGCCTATATATATGATAATTTTGGTGATAAACAATTAAATTAATTGAAATTGCTAGGTTATAATAAGCCAAGTCAACCAGTCAAAGTACATAATGATGTGCAGAATCATAATAGGCACCTAAAATTCTTTTGTTCAATAAATATACATTATAGACCACAGATAAGTACCACGTACTAAGCACCCATCCATAGGCGTTAGATGATAACATTTTATGACGGTGGTTGCTATCTTCGTGATAACCGATAACAGAGAGTGGAACCTTTAGAAACATAGTAATACCACACATTTTTTAAACATTATTAATTTGAGGACTAGGGTGAGTATAGAGTCAAAATTAACATTTTATTAGCAGTCAATTGTCTATACAATCGACTGCAATGACTGGTATTGTACAGTTAATAATCGACTGCCAATAAAAAGTTAATTTTTTATTTATTTATTTATTTATTCTTTAATGTACATAATTTGTTTATGGTACATAAGGCGAACTTAATGCCATATAGCATTCTCTACCAGTCAACCTTAGGGTTTAAGTGGAAAATCTGCGAAAACTGAGGTACGGATTTTTTGTAGTCCAAAATGCTAAAAGTCTAGAATGTGGTGTCACCTCTTATTATTCAGTATTCTTTCTAGAAAACGATCTGTTGTAATACTGCTTAGAATCATAAAATCAATCAGTTGATTCAATTTGGCTTTATGCTTGACAGCTATACCGCAACACAAGGCAAATAAGTCGGTTCCAAAAGGCTAGAAAATTCGGTTGCAGGTTTCGATTGCGGGGCGAGTCACCCGTGCTCGCCGCCCTCGCCGCCCGTTCAGAACCAGACCCGAGAATACAGCGCGTCGCGTTCCGCGCGCGCCGCCAGGAGCCATCAGACCACCACAGATAAGGCCCAATAGAGCTGATGCCGATACGGAGCCGCGGAAGGCTTAACGGGTTGCCGGGTCGATTGTGATTGTATGTGTAGCCAAGACGCTACGCAGTTTTTAAAAAATATAAATATTGTAAGTGTTAGATTTACCTGATCTAGAGAAGGTGGTAACCCATACATCATCAGGCCTCACTTCGAAGTTGTAAATCTCGGAAGCATGGTCTGCGTAGCCTGCGTTTAAAATGTATCCATGTGGACCAATTCGGATGAATGGCCTCGTGTACTCTGAAACACGAATTAATTATGGTTTACTCAAGTATTTTTTACTTTTTTTAGGTGAAAGCTCACTGGTTAACATGCCATCACCAATTTAGGTCGAAACGAATAATACCTCTATAATCTATCGTACGAAAATCTTGGATTGATGTTAATTTTTCCCATTTGTTCTATTGAATTTCTATTAATCGAATATTCAATTTTTATTAATTAATTGTGGTTATTAAACTGTCAAACACCAAGCGGTCACCGGTGACCGCAACCTATTGTTCTATAATTGTGTCTACAAAACCGGTACTCGACGAGTTAAATGAGATTATTATTTTATCTTTTATCATACTGAAAACTTAATCCATATATTCTTACGTTTGTAATACTTCTTTATAACTTTGTCCTCTTCTTCAGTGACGTCCTTGATCTCATACGGGAATGGAAGTGCCATTTTGAGTTGGTTTCTGAAAGAATAAAGAATTACACATTAAATAAGAATAAACCATCCAACCATATGTATTGGCAATCTGTAATATGATAGTAGCTGAACGTGTTCCTAAGCGCCAATCCCGAGAATCGCTGAAGTAATTTAGCAAATTATCTTCTTGTTTGGTTTGTTATTGTTAGTATGCGGTTGATTTGTAAGAAAAAATATAAATTAACTTTAAATCACGAGTTACTCACGTGAATATACTAAGAAAAGCTCTACTAGTTTCGAGCCACAGAGGAGCTCTTCCTCATGAGCAGCGTGCGCGGTCGCGGCGGTGTCGCACAGCTTACCTAGGTGTAGGCTGCGCGAAAACGCCGCGTTCGCTTGAGAAAACAGCGATTTTTAGTTTATAAAATCTAAGGCAAAACTAAGTTTGCGGAGTTCATTAATACTATAATTATATAACCGATGACATGTTTTTAGATTAACATCGTAAAACATTATTATTATATAATATAACATGACGCCTATCATTACCGAGGGTGCAAGGCAGAGGTGCACAATATGTCACTGTACAATGTAACACCCACTTTTCACTATTTATGTTATAAGTCCCATGTAATAGGGGGTGAGCCTATTACCATATACCAGGCACAATTTCAGACCCCGTGCTACTACTGATAATTTAATACGTTGCCTTACCTGGGAATCGAACCCGATCGAACCCTTTCCCGGCAGTCGCACTTACGACCACTTGGCCAACGAGGCAGTCTATATTTTTACAATCAATATAAAATGTAGGTAACTATATTATGTATATTACATCCGTTTTGTACGCAGAGGTTTATATCAAACAAACCACAAAAATATCTACTCCAGATGACAAATGAATGACAACTGATAGGTGATATCGACAGCAGAACTACTACGACCGCAAATATGAGGTACCTCTTTGTTTTCGGGCGATTGGCTGCATTTTATAAGTCAAATTGAAATGAATAATATCACAGTTTTAGGTGCGTATGATGATTTTTTCCCCCTTCAAAAAAAGGTGCACTAAGAATGTCCAACCGGGGCTGCAGACAACGCCAAGGATAACCGGGGCTTTAGTTCAAAGCAGGAGTTCGATCAGGGTACTCTTTAGTCAGTAAGAGTCTGACACCCCCTCTCGTCTTGTCACTGATTATAATATCAGTCATCTCGTCGATATCGTAAACTGACTAAGATAAAGACATAAAATCGCAAATATTCAAAGTCAACAGAGCTTTGCACTATCCACAACGATATGACAAGAGTTGACAAAGGCGATTCGAATTCAACCTCCGATTTAAAGGCGAATATTAATCTCGATTCATTACTTATGAATCATTATACAGAGGCAGACAAACACACAGACTGTATAACCCGTTCCAGAAGTCATTGTGAGCTATCGGTACAATGTTAATGAATAACGCATTACTCTGAGTTCGCTTTATGAATGCGATTACAATGGCGGACAAGAACTTTATTCGAGAACGTTCCAGAATTTTCCATGATTTTTCTTTTACATGTGGATTGTGTGAGCTTACAATAGTTTAATTCAAGAGCGACCAAACACGAAGGGTTGGACAGCAAGATCGCTAAATATATGCATATTAATTAACTCGTCGAGTACCATCAATATAGATAGACACAATTATAGAACAATAGGTTGCGGTCACCGGTGACCGCTTGGTGTTTGACAGTTTAAATGCGATTTCTGACACAAGTCAGAACCCACACCTGACATGCAGACAACTGCATGTCAGGTGTGGGTTTGGAAACTCCCTTCAAAATACTCGAACATTATTCAGATCTGTTGAACAGTCTTTTTCGAAAGGAAATGTTCATTAAGCTTTTTCATCTAAATAATTATTTTTATAGACATAGCTTCATTTTCAAAATTTTTCCTAATACTCGCACGCCCTAAGTTGCTAGCTTTTCTTCGCCTAAAGCTATTAAAAATATAATGTAGGTTTACGCTATCTCTAGTAAATTATAATGAGTACTCAAAATTAAAGGAGGTACTAATTTGTAAACTGTTAATGAACCTTTAGAAAATGATCTTTTATTTTGCTTCGAGCGTTAAAATATTTTTACTGTCCAAATAATCGTGGCCCACTGTGCTCAAATAAAATACTTCAGTTGCTCAATTTTAATTACAAGAAAGCTAAAATTAAATCGATCCGTGTCGAGATCAAAGCGGATGAGCCACAAAGGTGAGATTGCTTTGAACTGTCGCAGTTACTAACGAGGGTAGAGGAGGGGGGTACTGCGAACTAAGCGCACACAAATCTAGTTCTAGTCAACATTTAATTGCTGGCTTTGACTGATTATGCCTTCTCATTAAAACGCCTAGTAATTAGGAATTTGAGTGATGATACGCTGGAGTAGGCTACGTTCTGGGAATTTCATATTAATTGTGGCACACTACCCCATGACCCTGCTTTCAATACAATATGAAGACAATATTACATCCACTTTTTGCTTGTTACGCTATGAAATGAATCACGTTTTATTTCAACAATGAATAAAATTCCAAAAACAAATTCTCCGCATCGATATCGAACCGAAGCATTCCAAAGTAAACAGTCGTAGTTCTGAGTACTGGAACTGCGAGTCAGTCTAATAATAATAATATTTCTTTCCTAAAAAACAAATTTCATTTCACATACATTTTCGTTAGGTACTGCTTAATTAAAAATATACATTCTCTAAATTCAAATATGTACCAAAGTACCAACATGGCGGTGTAAATGTCAAATTTATTATTTTAGAGCTTAGGCTGATTACATAATGGCGGTTCGTTGATGAGTTTATGAACCGGGAGCACGGCAAATGTCACTTCGTGGGCGCTACACGACCCGTAGGACGATGTATTTTACACATTTTAAACAAAAGGCCAGATATATTTCTAACATTTTTACACTTAAGTTATTGCCATTTGTCTGAGTGGTGGTAGACTCACTACACGGTTGGGGCAGTGACTGGGCAGCTGATTGCGGCGTAAGGGTGTAACCACACGGGTGGCGCGGCTGCGACGCGGCGCCTAAGCGGTGCCGCTGCGGTTTTCTACATACAAAAATGCATTGTAGCCACATGGCGCCGTGCGGTGTGCTCCGGCGCCGCGCCGCGGGCGCTTCGGAATCGAGACGAGGCGGGGAGGGGTGTAAGCAGAGCGGAGCCGGAGCGGCGCCGCCCGCAGTTGTTTGTTTGCGCAGCATAGGGCAGGAGGAAGGAAGGATGGACTAAGCCACATGCCGCTGCGGCGCCGCCGCGGCTCGGTAGAACGTTGCGTTGCGACGCCGCTCTGCCCGTGTGGCCGCCAGTGCGGCGAAATGCCTTGCGGTGCGGCGCCGCACCGCCCGTGTGGTTTGCCTCTAACATGTGAGTTCGAACTTTTTGTATGATTCAAAAATTAAGCCAACAAGAAAGACGATACAAATATGATGTCTCTTGTCCATGTTAGTCATAGATGAGTTATCTCATGTTACGTGTCTACATACATAATATACATTACGTATGTTTATGTAAGATAAATACAAATTAAATAAAGGATTGTTAATTAAAGGGCACTCCTATCGCTGACAAAGTTGTCTACTTGGTAATGTTTAAATCACAATTTTAACAGTAAATATTAAACTGCGAGTCTTTCTACATTTGTGTTTGCCATAATTCTTAGGCAGGCAGGGTATAGATCCCTAACGTACAATGTGTCTCGTTGGCAGCTCAAAGAACTATCAGATACCACAGATGGGCTCTAATAGGGCTGAGGCCGATACGGAGCCGCGGAGGACTTAACGGGCTGCCGGCGGCCACGGCTCGAAGTACAAGAGTAGGAACGGGGTGGTTTTTAGTTAGTAAGAGTCTGACACTCCCTCTCGCCAACCCAAGGCGGGAGAAGTTATTCGATGATTATCCCCACTCAAAAGGCAAGGTAAAGTCTTTACCCTGCCGCGTTTTGATCTTTAACTTAAAGATCGCGGTTTAAAAACGTCTGGGTTAGTAGAAAGCGCTGTTGTCCGGTCTCTGTTCCTTAATCATATCCCTTCTACAACCTTATTTGCTTCTACTTATGAGTATGACATATACTTACAAATTGGTTTTAAATATGTAAGAAGTTCGCACGGACTATAATTATGGCATAGATAACTATTATTATAGTAATTTACTCTGTATAAATGAGCCGTCTTTGACGAGTTTACTTTCAATAAATAAACATGCATTAACTAATAACAATTCATTATTGTTAGTTCTTTGTAGACAACTTATAAAAAGATAGAAGAAAATTTTTTTTTCTATCCACAATCAGCGAAAGGCTTTAATCAAATAATTATGATGTCTTTCTTTAATGGTTATTTTTTTTTCTTCTATGGGAATTGAGTCTCCACTATTTAGTAGTTGACTATTCTGCCAGCGTCATGTGTTACGGCAGGTGTGGGCATTAGAGTTTATGTATTTGAATAAAAAAGGGACAAAACATGGCATTGACATTTAAAGCATTATTATATTAGACACTGTCATTATATATTAGATTTTAATATTATTTAATATCTTGAATGGTTATTGGAGAGTACGTATACACATCGTGTGATGAGACATCTATTATATATTTTTTTATATGGAAATGTTTTTTTAATGTATTTTTAATTTATTCTCCAATGCTACCAGAACAAAGTGTTAAGAACATTGATCGATGCGCCATGGTTTACATGGAACACTGAAGTGCATGATTACTTGGAAATCCCAACAGTAAAGGATGAAATAGAAAGCTCTTCTGTGGCCTATAAAAACGCCTTGAACGACACAGCAATTACCTACCTAGCTACTTAACATGAAGTTCCATAACAATGAAGTTAGGTTAGCATGGAAATTGAGTATAACAAGTATATCAAGTTAACATAAACAAACTAAGTATTACAAACTAAATGATAACAATGTATTTGAAATCTAACTTCCAATGGTAATTTTAGGTACATAAAGTTCATTATTGGTATAATATTTCAAAATAAGGAAGCGACCCACATAACTTTATTTATTTCTAATACATTTTTTTTACCCCTAATGTGGGATTTCCTACCTTGGGGTCATGTTAGGATTGTTTCTACCATGATTATATACGTTGTGTTTATGTTTGACAATTACCTATTATAAATATATCAAAATATCGGTTATTTAGCTAATAGTATAATCAGATATAATGAAACAAGTTCTTTATAAACATAGTTGAATACATAAAAGAATAAAATCTACTTACAATTATGCACTTGGTTGAATTATAAACAGTTTATTGTAGTGATGAAATGCACTCGATCGCTCCCGCTGCCGGAATGTCACTGAGTCGACGACCACAGAGTACCCACAACTATACGATCGTTTGTCGACCGATGAATACAAATACATAATATGTACCCAAGGGATTTAATATCTAATGGCCTCGTACCTTTAGAGTTCCTTTTACGAAGATCGGATAAATAATGCCGATTTTAAAAAGTAACTTCGGTTTTAAAGTACTGTTTTGGGAATTCCAAAAGTTGATAGAATGATTTATCCGCGGCTTAGATATGTTATCCTATGTTGCTCTGGTTTTCCACATGTAGGTATTAATCTAATGTCAGAAATGCATTGACATATTGGGAAAACTGCACGTACGTACTTAGATGAGATTATGTAAATGTACGAGTAAAGCAATGGTATCTTACTATTTGTATAAATGCGAAGGTTTATTTGTTTCTGTCTATGGGGTCATCCATAAATTACGTTACACGAATTTCATGATTTTTCGCACCTCTCTTGTCACAGCTAGTCACATTAATGAGACCCCCCTAGAGTGACGTCACATTTTGCAGAATAACGTATGTATAAAAGTTATTGAATGAAAACAGCCGTTCGGAAATCAGTTTTATTTCTATTTAAATTACTTTAAAAAATATTAATCAAACAAAACAAAAAACAAAACAAAAAAGAAAACAATCTTTATTCAGAAATGTAAATGGACATAAATACAAAAAATATTTCTTGGTTAAGTAAAATAGATCTTACCTACATGTTTAGGTTAATATACTAGAACTTTCCACAAACATTCGATAAATATTTGTTATTATTTCTGCCTGCCCTTATCTATACTGGTTTACTTTTTATCAGTAATCGTAAAAGTATTTCCTTTCGTATGACTAGTTGTCTATATGTTAAAATATTTTTTAGGTTTAGCATATTTTGACCGAGACATAGATATACTTCATCGTCGTCATCATTATCAGACATAAGTAGTACTGAACATAGGACCTCCTCAAATGATTTCCAGATAGTTCGGTTGAAGCGACCTGCTTAAATCCGCCTATCGTTTTCACGAACGCATCATCAACAGCTTATAAACGCCCATTGCTGATCAAAGCCTCTTCTCATATGGAGAAGGTTTGAGCATTAATCACCACGCTTGCTCAATGCGGGTTGGTGATTTCAAACTTATAATTAGAAATTATAAGCCCAGGTTTCCTCACGATGTT